TAATAATATATTTTTAAAGATAACAAAAGGAAATGAATATCAAAGAACGAAAAAAATATTCGAAAAATATTTGTCGAGAATGTCACGACAAATTAAAATTGAAGTTTACATGCATTTTAGCGTCGCATTAATATCTTTAAATATTCGTGATATAATATCTCGTTAATTTGATGTACAATGATCATTGTTATGAATAACATAGATTCTATCACAAAACTTTATTAACATTTTTTTTTTAATTCATTATTGGAAATAGTTTATATAAAATTTTAAAGAAAACGATTCTTTGATTATTTATTAATTGATTGATTTATTAAAAACTCTTATTAACGAATTAATTTTTGTGATCGATTTTTTTCAATTTCTTCGTTTATAAATGAATATTACACGTTTTTTAGTACGCTTATTGCAAAAAATATTGTTATATAATCGTAACTATATATAAACTATATAATCTTATTTATGTTAAGACAAACAGATCGTTTTTAAAAATTTTTTAAAAAAGATTTAAAACATGAATAATACTGAGATTAAAAATTTTGTCTCGAATTGACAATACAATGGGCAATACAATAAAAAAATTTCTTGTTTTAATTAAAATTAGAATCATTTTTTTTTTTGAAACGTAATCACTCACAACAAAATAAAACTTTCACGAATACGAGAATCTTTCTCGAAATGAATATCGAATATCAGAGAATAACATACGATAACACTTATATTCGATCACATTTGTTTTTGAAACAAATTACGTTGAATTAAAGTCGGAGTTGAACTCTTTCTTGCCTGTGCTCTCGAAAGCCAGAGACAGACTAATGGGTTGGATCACGTGTTATTCGTGACCATGAAATCTATTTGTAAAATGACACGATAATATAGATGTGTTCTATATAGATTCAAAATTATGTATCTTGTTATTATTATTATTAAGATTGAGCTAGTATGATATACGATATTAATTCTATTATCGATTTTAAATATTCCTATGATAATAATAATAATAACATTACGATAATAAATATTATATGTTATAGATCGTAGAACACGTACAAATCAATCTTTTAAAATTTATGTATCTGTATAGATATCATAGTGATCATCGTGTACTTTGATTATTATACATATATCGAAAATGTTCAAAAAACAGAGATAATGTAATAAATGAAAAAAAAAAACGAAAGATTTTTAATAATGCAAAAGCGTGAATTAAATAAATTTAAACATAAAAAAAATAATTAGTTAAAGTATAAGAATTCGAGAAAGATATGAATTTTTGAACTCATATTTTGAATTCATCAAGAATGAAGATTAAATTTTGTGATAAAATAGAATTATTTTTAAAATAATGATAAATATATATTGTGATATTTTTTTGAATTTTGAAAGAAGAAATGTGGATGTGGCAAAAGGAAGGGAATAGTTTTATGTAAGAATCTTCAAAAACAGAAGGAATTCAAGACTCACACAAATCGGTTTCTCTCGTATCAAAATTTAAAAGTCTGTATCTTGAATTTATAGGTTAATATGTCATCACATCCTTTCTTTATTACTTTAGCCAATCTCTAATCTTTAGTCTTTCCTTAATCTTTTATATTTTAATTTCAGAAAGATTATTATATATTTTTTCTCCTTTTTCTTCTCTGTTCTATCTTCATTTTTTCTCTATTTTATTTATTCTTATTTAATTCTCATTTAATTCTTATTTAATTTTTTTATTTAATTAGTATTTCTAAAATGAAACAATGTTTGTACATTAAATGCTTCTATCTTGTAAAATTTTAAAAAAAATTTTCTGAATTTATCAGAAAATACCTCATATAAAACATCGATTCTTTTATATTTTTTCTTTTGAATTTGATTTAAGAGATCATGACTCCACAAATTTATAAATATTAAATTCCGATAAATTGAGTGCATGATAATGATAAGAAATCATTAATTTTTTATTTGAATTCTTCAAGTATCTTCATCATGAGAAATTAATTTGTACTTAGTGAGCATTTTTATACGAGATAAATATTATTTCATGTAATCCATTCAATTTACCCACAGAAGAGGAAAATTTTATCAAAAAAATCAAAAAAATAAGTAAATAAATAAATTTAGCAACTTTCCACTTTCATTCAAAGGAACCATTCATTCATTTCTGATTCAAAGATTTCTCCATTGATGGAATTAACAAAACGTTGACATAAAAAAAAAATAGAATTTTAAAAATCATTCAATCATTCAATCGCAATCAAAAATTAAATTCCATTATCCACTCATCATTACAATATCATATTTCGATCAAAATCGTAAAAACAAGGAATCGAGTTCAATTTTCTTAAATCCATTCATTCCGAAGATTTATCCTTATCTTTCCACTTCATCCTCCGATTTTCGAATGTCTCGAAATCTTTCCTTTGTTTTTTCCCCATACATTCCATACACGAAACGGTGTCGATGTTTCTGCTCGATCGGCCAGGAATTTTTCTGGAAAAATAGCGTCACAAATCAGTGACTTTTTCCCGCGATCCATACATCCGATCGATGGATCCAGGTCTTCGGAAAACGCGATTCGCGGGTTGATCGTGCGAGCTCAATCTAAACGTGATTTGCGGTTTCACGGTTTGGAATTTATGGCGGCAACTGACTTTAACGGATATTCTCCTAACGTTGTCTTCTATGTTATTTGAATCACGAACAGGTCTCGCTTTTTGCGGAGAGAAACTGAACGAAGAGAAAGAAGAAGAAAGGAGAGTATAGAAGTGTTGACCCGATATTATTATTCTCCATTGGAACAAGAGAGATAGTTTAGATTCAATATCCGATATGAAATTAGAAGGAATTATTGCTTAATTTGATAAATCGAATGATTGGATTATGGATCTGTGTTGAAAGATAATTAAAATTTGGAATTGTGTTACATTCACTGATGAAATTGGATATGTTGAATTATTTTATTATTTAATTCAATTGGAATTTTAATTTGTTTGTAACGTAGTAGTTAATCATTGGTTTTTTGTGCAATGGATTATTCGAGTGAACAGGAAAAGGAATTAATTTATAATTAATTGGATCATGATTAGAATAATTTGGATTATATTTTAATTACATCATTTAATTTTAGTTTATGTTTAATTAATATTATTATTCAAGACACGAAACACGAAAGTATAAATAAAAATGTATTAATTACGATAGAATTTCTTGTATTTATTAAATATTACTTTTTCTATATTGATCGAATCCATGATTGATGAATAAAATTGATGAATTTTTATCGTGGATAAGATAAATGAAAAATTCAAGTGTAATTCGTATCAATTCGCAAATCACATTTATCTGAATTAATCGAATTATTTATGATTATCATTCGGTAATAAATAGCAATTATATATATAAAATGGAGCATACATTTTTAATTAATTTTGTAACGTAATTGTTTATCAAACAATTTGTAATGATTTATGTTTTTCCCTGATATCCATTGTTATAATTCACTGAAAAATATCGGTAAGATATAATCGATTTAGATGAAATGGATTTCTTCGATAATTCATACTGCAGATTTTCAGAATCTATAATAGTCTTATTTAAATAAGTCTTATTTGCTAGAGCATAATTGGCATGTGTTAACTTAGTTAACTTAGTTAAGATAAACGAAAGATAAAGATTCCTTCTTTCACAAATAGAATTCAGAATGTTAAATATATAAGAAGAAAGAAATAAGAAAACATAATATATTACTCTTAAACTTTAAATTAATATTAAACTCCCTGAATATTGATAATACAGAAATTTAAAAAATTTGAAATATGATTTTAAATTAATTCTAAAATCATCGATGAAAATCGTTGATTATCTTCTTATATTTTATGTTTCTATAACTTATCGAATTGTATATTCATACCTTTGTCTTTTTATTTTATTATTTTCTTTTCAGCATCAACAAAATATATAAAAATATATCTTTTATTTTTTTCTTATCAATAATCATAATATATCTAATAATGCTGAACATATATTTTATCCCTTTTAAAATATCTTATCCCTTTTAAATTATCTTCATATTGATATTTAATAAAAATTATTATATGATATTTCTCCAATAATTGTTACAAATACACAATACACAAAGACATCATAAATACAACTTATATTTGTATTATTGATAACAGAAATTTATTATCAATCGAAAATAAGTTTTAGATAAATGTATTTAATTGATATTAGATATTAAATTATGATATGATTAAAAATAATAACTTATGAATGAACATGTAGTGTTATAAATGCAATAAAATTTATAAAATTAATAGTAATAAATAATTTATAATATTCAATATTAATATATACGAATAACTAATAATTCAAATATATATAATAATCAATTAATTGCTATATATATACGACGATAATTGGAAAATTTTAATTTCAATGAATTTTAATTTCAATGAAGAATAATCTTTTCAGATGCTTAAGAAATTCAATGAAAATTTTCAAATAATAAAATACATATACTTTGATATTTTATCGTGTGCTTTAACATTTTTATTGGTTCATGGTATACAAACCATAAATTTTAATGGATGGAAGTGTAGTGAATAGCAACACGTATTATAAAATATATAAAATATATTTTCAAAGTTAAATCGTTACCGTGAATTTTTCATGCTCTTCCATAAAATCGTGAAAAGTCAAAACATGTTTGACATGATGTCAGAGACAAAAATCAATCGTATATTTGGTCAATTAAATGTGAAAAAATTTTAAATTATTACGAATAAATATTCTCTAAATATTATTCTATTAAATTATGGAATATATTTTAATTTTTCAGAAAATAATTCAAAAGAGATTACAATATTACATTATATAAGATTGTAGATAATTTGTTTTATTGATTTTTATTTATTCTAAGCATTAATAATTAAAAAATGTATCTAATACATAACCTTAAAACTATTATATTAAAGCTATCAACTTATTGTCAAAATATTCTATTATTTTTCACGATTTTTTAACACAATCGCGTGTCACGAAATTAAAAATTATTTTAACCATTATGCCACTATTCAATTTCTAATTTTAATAATTCTGAATAATAAAATAATCATCTAGTTAAATTTAAAAACCTTTCGAAAGGACAAGAAGAGTCATAAGATGAATAATTAAAATTATAAATTTAAAACAGAAACAAAGAATTTCAATAATTTTAATAATTCTAAGAATCTTAAGATATTTTTTTCTTTTGTGGCACAATGAAACTCGAATTTATTAAACGATATATGAATCGTAATCCTATCGTCAGAAGATAAAGTACTACTAACGCCACTATCAAGAGGAATCCGCAAACGTCTAATAGTTCCAATTGCCACCACGTTAGATCCATCGCAGGTGATCTGAGCACAGTTGATCCATATTTGATAATATATTCGATCCAATAAATTGCAGTATCCGCAGAATTCATTGGTCGATCTAAAAACTTCTTTGAAAGTTCCTTTATCGCTTTTCTGAAAGACAAACATGCGTTAAGATAATAATATTTCACAATTCATGATAATAATGAACTCAGCGAAATTTTTCATGTTGCACAATATCTTATTTTTCGTGTCAAAGAATAAAATAATACAATATATCAAAATAAAGATATTATTCCATAGTTTTAATCCTTATGAATCTTTTTATGATGATAATCTTTTTTATGTGATTGATAAAATTTGTCGTTTATGATAATTTAGGATTTTTATTTATCAAATATATTTCAATTCGTCGTGGACCAAACATATAGTAAAATATATTTTAATTGCAATTTTTTTAATTTGTATATTGTGAAAAAATAACGATGAGATAACAAAGATATTTAACAAAGTTTTGAAATATTCTTTAAATGAAATTCAATGATGTAAGGATGAGTGAGGATGATGTAATTTCGTTAACATTAAGCGAAGATTCTTTTTGGTGAAGGCTTCTATAAATATAAAAAGGTGAAAAATATCCTTCAAAAATTATGAAACGAACAATTACATCGAATGGTATATGGTGAAAAGTTAATAAAGTTCGATGGAAAATAACTTAAAAAAATGAAAAAACATACGTACTTGTATTTAGGATTATTTAAAATTTCATTCAAGGCGTGATCCATTTCTTCTTGAGTTAGACTAACAATTTTTAATTTTATTGCAATGTTCAATCGAACGTAGTTATCGATATTTATAAACTGATCAGCAAACAAAGGTATACCGATCATTGGAACTCCATAATGAATAGCTTCTTGGCTTCCCATAAGACCTCCATGCGTGATGAATGCTTTTATATTCGGATGCTCTACAAAAATAAAAAATCGATTCCATTTTATTGCTAGAAATTAATGGAATAAAAATTTTCTATGAATATTTATTTTTCAAAATCCCATTATAACCCATTACTCAAAATATCAACTTTAAATAAAAATAATTTTGGACAAGAAAACGCGACAGATCTTTAATTTGACTTAATAGAAAATAAAAATTCGGTATTTGAAGTATTTCGAAGTTGGAATGGATCCAAGTTTTAAAATTTTATTTCTTCTATTGCAATCATTCAATTTGTGCAATTTGTTTACAGACAATGAACTTACTGAGAACTTTGACTTGCGGTATCCACGGTAAAATGTAGACGTTCTCCGGCAAACCAGGCGGAAGTTTGTCCGATTTTGCTATTTTCATCAACACACGAACAGGTGCTATTTTCCTCATAGAATCGTAAAAGATTCGAAGGGTTTCGATCGGGAATGATTCGATCATCACCATCGAACCGAACGAGAAATAGATAAATCCGTGTTCGCTCTCGTTCATCCATTTTTCCAGACTCTACAATCAATTTTTTTTTAACATTTTCTCATACCATCTATTATTTTATTTAAGAAAAATACTTTAAATTATCTAAATTTGTAAGAAATCTTTTTATACAATATAATAGACAATATAATAGCGTTTTCTTCTCACGGAAAAATGAATGGATAGAGATAAAAAAATACTTACAGGTGATAATAATACTGTCTCGTCATCGTGTACGTGCAATCCTCCGACTTCTATGAGTGCCGGATTCAAGTTTTTAATACCATTTGTCGATATATGCGAATTCACTAAGATTATCGACATATTCCTCTCCAAATCTCTGATATTTCGCGCATCGGGTTTAACGTATTTCCTCATAATCTCCGTCTGCTTAACCGTCACATGGTTGAACACCCATATCGAGTAAAGATTGTCCAAAAAATTGTACATCCTCTGCCAGAAATTCATATTCTGGGAATAGGAAAGTAAATTGTGCGGCACGTATGCAAGATTGTGAGGGCATCCGATGTAATCGTAGGACCACGGGTAGAGCACAGAGCTGCTCACTCCTATCATCGGTACTTTCAGAACGTCGGCTATTATACCGAAACAGTGTGCACCGAATATCTGAAACGAGAACGATTTTCGAGATTTCATTTTGCATCTTTAAATTTTTCTACGATTCTGTTTCTAAAGAAAGATGATAAGATAAAGAGAAAATAGTAGATAGTAATAAATAAGAAAAAAAGAAAAAAAAGGAATTGTACAATTTATGATAAAATTGTATAAAATTATGGAACATTTCTTTTCAACGAATCTCATCTTGAGATTATTCGTGGAATATTATATATTTTTATTTTGATTCTAGAAGACAAATCAAAAGTTGCTATGAACAAAAATATGTATGAGTTAATTAATTTTGTGAAGTGAGATGGTGATATGAACACAATTGTTTATAATTTATATAATAAACAAATTTTCTCGTCACACCACTTTTGAATCAATTTTAATTTCTAGAATGAAAATCTTCTTCGAATATTCCCACGAATGTGTTAACACTCTTTGTTATTTCAAAAATAATGAATACCGTATTCGGATCAGTTATTTTTTTCTGATTGTTATAAAGATATATTCTTCTATTTTAGCAACAGTCACAAATAGTCAATTCATTGTATTTTTCTTTTTTCTCTCTTGTGTAATCTTACAATTCATACCTCCAAGATGATCGCGTCGTAAGGCGGGTTTTTAGGCGGATCGTGTATTAATTCCTGTATCTTCGGATGTTTCAAAAATTCGCAAATCATATTTCCTGCCATTTGTCCCACGATGAAGGGAGCTGATACAATGAACGAATTTTGTATCTCGTGAAAAGTTAAATTGTTTATCCATGACGAAGATACGGGAAGCACAATAAGATCTGTATAATTTGGATACGGTTTCTTCAAGGGGAACGTGGAGATCACGTCAACTTGATGGCCCTTTTTGGCCAGAATCTTCATCAGTCGTTCGAACATCATGAAATGACTCTTTCCGTTGAAAGGAAACACTCCTAATATTCGGTATCCGTAACATACCGATAGTATCGCGCAAAAAAATACTATTGATAGTTTCATAGTCACTTGGAACAATTGATTTTATTTTAAAATTATTATTATTATTATTATTATTGATGAAAGATTAAAACGTAACTCAACGACGAAATAAATTATTTCATTTATTTATTTATTTATTTTAAATTTCAATTTCAAATCGACGATGAGAATTTCAAATATGCGATGAGAATGGATCACACGTCTGTTTGAATTTCGAATTATATATCACTGTATATATTGTTATTTTTTTTTTTCACAGAAATTTACGAGTTTTCTTTAAAAAAAAAAAAAATCTCCTTATTGTCAACAAATATATTTTATACGGCCTCTTCCGTTTGATATCCAAGTTTTTCTAGAAATGAAGAATTAAGTAAATGTAAGAAAAATATAAGAGATTTATATAATGTAACAAAGTTTTAAAAAATTGTACACTAACTGAAATCATTATCATAGTGAGATAATTATGTTTGAAGATGACTATGAGAAAAGATTACGTTTAAAGAAATATTTGAAACCTTTTGAACTCTTATATTCATTAAGCATGAAACGATAAATTTCAAAATGTTAAAATGTTAAAATAATGTAATAGATTGTAGGTGATAGCCTTTATTGATAGCCTTTCTCCAAATTATATTTTATTTAACTTACTTTTTTACATTTAAACCAGATATGTTGAATATTTTTATTTTTTTTATGTTCGAATAATTTTAACCAATGATTTATTATAATTTTATTTTAATCTCTTTGCAATTAACAAAAGATATTGCATGCATATATAAATTCGTACCACTGCATGGACGAGATATTTCGACACGATAATTTATTCGACGAAATATCATGCATACAAAAGCTATGAGGCAAGGTATTTCACAAGTTTGAATATCGTTAATAGAACCTAAGAATTAATACCGATTCTCGATCTTGGTAAATAAATAAACACAAGAGATCCTTGTTCGTGGCTTCATATTAACGATATTGTATTGTTGCAATATCTTGTCTATGATTGCAAAATGATAAATTTTTGATAAATATTACTAAACAGAATTATAGCACTCGTTACTCTTCGTGAAGATATTAAAAGAAAAAGTTGAAAGTATTATGGATATTTTTTTTATAAGAACGCTGTATACGACTGACAGATCGTCGAATAATCTATTCGGATTGAATAGTTGTGAGGAACTATGAAAGACACGAAATATTGCAATTTTGTCAACGTCAGGTCAATTAGTGGCAAATTATACATTTTTCATTATCGTGCATTTATTGCATTTTCCAGTAAATTGGATGACTAAGTATGAAATATAGTTTTATAAGCATATTTATTATTTTGATAATATATAATATATAATAACCTAGAATAACGTATTTAAAGTTAAAAGAGTTTAGAAAGAAAAAGAAGAATACTTGAATTTAAGAAATCAAGTGATTAAATTTTTTTGTACTCTTTTTTTTTGAACTCTTGAGAGTTCGATCAATTGGAAATGAAAATAATATAAGGAAGTAATTTTTAATAAAAACTTAATCAAACACTATATAATTTAATGTTAAAGTGTATTTTCATTTTTATTCATATTTCTTTTTAATTATTCATACATTATGTGTGTATACGAAGTAAATATTGTAAAAAGAAAGAAAAAAACTAATACTTTATAAATTATTATATTATTATAATTATTATTATAATTATCATATAACAATGTTTCCTTATTATATTATTATATATTATATAATAATTATTATATTATTATATTATATTATTATATTATTATATAATTATATTACACTCTCTTATGTATTATTTTATTAATTATATAAATTTCTATTATTACAACTCTTGTTATCTTGTTGTTGATAAAATTATTGAAATTTTCAAAAATCCTCTCTATCATTCTATCATTCATTCATTGATACGTATTTAAAATAATAATTTTATTTTATTTTATAATTTTCGAAGGAAACAACGATCCTTTATTTGCATGCATACTACATACATCATTAACTTATAGTTATTAATTTCATTTATATTTTTCATAATTTCTTTCAGTTCGTTTTCCTTTTCGTTTGAATTCCGATCTTAAGGAAATGTCGAAATAAAAATTTCAAAAGTGTTACGAGAAAATAAATCATTAGAACGAAACACGCGATTAAGAAAGTGAAAACATCGATCAAATACAATTTCCACCAGGGTAGATCCACCGCGTGCGATCTCAAAGTTTGCGGCCCATTTCTTATCACATACTCGATCCAATAAATGGCGGTATCCATCGCGCTCATTGGCCGATCTTTGAATATTTTTGATATTTTCTTTGCGGATTCTCTGAAAAAAAAAAGAAAAAGAAAATTGTTTTTTATCTAATCTTATCTCATCTGATGTAAAATTAATAATTATATTATATGAATATTATATGATTACAATAATATGTTTGGTAGTATGATCAGGATTTATTGTTTTAGCATAATCTTGCTTTAACGTATTGTCGTGATATATGTCACTGATAATACACAATTTGTACAATGTACTGAATAAATTATTTTTGATATTATTATCGTTTGAATAATTGTATATAGAACAATCTAAATAAAGTATTATTAAAGTGTTATTTAATAATAATAACAATAATTTCAATGTGTTTCTTATAAAGATATTCGCTTGACTTATATTCTTTTATTTTTCATTTATTTTTTTTTTTTTTGTAAAGAAATTGTAATAATTTAATATTTCCTTTTAGGAAAATTAATCTTTTATTATAATATTTTAAATATATCATATTTATTGTGTTATGTATTATATGATATATAGTTAGTATTATTATAACTGTTTTAATTTCAATGGAATAAAGTAGAAAATTATTTCAAAAGATAATATACTCGTCTCAAGAAAATTTAGATGAAGTTAAAGAAGGTTAAAAGTTAGATAATAATTATTAGAGATATATTATTATGCATCATCATGATAAACACAATTACGTGATGAGTATAATCTATTGAAGAATTAATCTCAATTTTTGAAAAAATTGTAAATAAGAGTGAAATCACTAAGTGCAATATTATGATTCAGCATGTTATTTAATAATTATTATGATGACAATCACAATGAACATCACAATATTTATATAAACAATGATTTTTTAATTTTCTATAGAATATCTAAATTATTTAGAATATTTTACCTGTATTTAGGATCATGTAAAACAGCATCTAAAGCAGTATTTATGACATCCTCGTTGATGTTGTCGATATCTATTGCAACAGCTATATTCTTCTGGGCCAAGGTATAGATGTTCTTTTTTTGATCAGAGAATACAGGTATTCCTATCATAGGGACTTCATAATAAATGGCTTCCTGAGTTCCTCCAAAGCCTCCATGCGTTATGAATACTCGCGTATTTTTATGTCCTGTGAGAAATAAGATCTTTTAATCCAATATGATCCATAAATTACGCGCTACTCTCTGTAACTTTCTTTGGATCTTGGTTGGTTTTACGATTCTCCATATATTAAAAAAATTTTCTTTGAAACTGCTTTTATTACTTCTCATTAACTTCTTTTAATCATTCTTGAAGAAGATATTCGTTTAAAGAAAAGCAAAATTCTGAATTAATAAATTGTATAATATAATATACGTTTATGTTTTTTTTTTTTCTAAAAAAAATATGTGATTTATTTACTTAAAACAGCAATCTGAGGGATCCAAGAGAACGTCATCGCGTTACTGGGTAAACCAGGAGGTAACTTGGTTGAATTGGCACATCTTATCAACACTTTTATTGGTGATATTTTCGCGAACGATTGGTAAAAGATTGATATCATCTCTTTTGACATCTCTTCGATGGCCAATATGGAGCCCATTGAGAAATACACCAATCCATGATTTGCTGAATCCATCCATTCCTTCAATTCCTATAAAACGAGAAACTATTCCTTATCGTTTCCCTTTACTGGAGAGGTGATGGAATGATTGGTTTAAAAAAATTAAAAAAAATTAGAATAAAATTTTAAAGAAAATTATAAAAGTAAGTTTGAGCAATATTTTAAAAAAAGAAAAAAAAATGAGATCTTTCTATGAGGAAAATTCACAGAGAATAAGAACTTCAAAATTCTCAAAAAAAATGATTAGGAAAAAGCAAAAACTTTTCAAAATCTTACCGGATTTACTTTCTGATCGGATTCAACGATGTGTAATCCACCAACTTCGACGATAGCTGGCGTGACCGCTCTGATCCCGTGATAACTGTGATGTGAGTTCACTATAGCCAGGCTCACGTTTCTTTCCAATTCTCTGATATCTGGTATATTCGGTAAACCTAGATATTTTCTCATTATATCGGTTTGATCGCTCGTGTAATAGTAAAATTTTTGCTCTTCCTTGTAATTAACGATGAAATTCCACAGACGATCGAGGAACGTATCCACTACAGGATAATCGTTATAATGTCCCGAAAAGAAGCCATAATTCAATGGACTTCCCATAAAATTATCGATATAGGGCATTTCCAGAAACGATACTGCAATAGCCACTGGTGCGTTCAACAAATGACCAAATCCCAAATAACACGGTGAGGCGAAATACTGAGAAAAGAAAAAGTATATGTATAATTCCTCGAAGTTTAACATTATAATATAGAAATCTTAATTAAAAATAAATGTTGATTATCATAATTTCTAAATTATTGCTAAAATTAATTTTACGTATACGTTTTTTCTCGTTAAAAAATAATTTTCTTATTTACAAAAAAAAAAAAAAAAAAGATTAAATTAACATTAAAAAGTTACCATTACCATTAAATATCATGTTCCAATTAAATATCGTAAAATAGTTAAAAAATTATGCAACAATGCTTGGACAATGGACTCTATGTTATTCGTATCTTATATTGATTTTTTGCATTATAAAAATTAATGATACTTTTAACGTTAATTTATAACGTTAATTTATAACGTTAATTTATATTTTCATTACGAATGCACGTGATAAAAAATAAATTATATAAATTTTATTTTGAAATAATGAAGAAATATAAGTCATTCGTCACTAACATTGTTATCGATGCATTATCAATTTTTGAGGCAATTATAAAAAGGTTTAATATTTACTTGATTAAATTACATAATAAAGTATAATATAACGATACTTATATAGATAGAAAAAAATTGAAAGATAAAGTTTATTTTAACCGTGCATAAATTATGATAAATAAATAAATTTTCAAAATGAATTTTTATAATTCGGAATTAATAAATTGCATTAAAGTTAAATAATACTAAAACATTAATATATTCGAAAATGTATATTAGAATATTACAAAATATACATGTTAAAATATTTTTACATGTTTCACAATATTATATAATATTCACATATATATATATAAACATTATGACCTTTAATCAAATATTTTTTATAGAAAATCTTATCTTTACAATTTTGCAATTTTCTAAGTAAAAATTAATAATGTTATTTTTAACATAATTCGTTAAACATAACGTAATTCCATATAATTAGTACAGCCTCTAATTATCGACTAAATTAAAATTTATTAATTTAATCGTTTTAATAATTTAATAATTTTAATAATTATCATAAATATTATTATTTAATAATCTTAATAATTTTTTTTTAAATTAAATATTTGATATTTAAATTATTTTAATTTTTTTATAAATATAGATAAATAAAACGTTTATCGGAAATAGTAACGCAAATAACATCATTTTTTTAATAAGATCATATTTTATTTTATATCTATTTATATTTATTTTTATTTATATCTATTTATATTTTATTTTTTAGAAATATACTTGAAATATTGAAAAATATATAATTATTACTTTCGTTAATTTTAAATTATAATTAATTATAATCAATAATTTACCTCTGTAATTATGAGATCGTAAGGTGGATCGTTGGGTGGGTTTTTAATGAATTTTTGCATCTTTTCGTTGCCCATTAAGTAGCATAAAGAAGTACCAAAATCTGTAGCCATATAATATATGAGTGATCGATCTAACATCTGGGCAAAATCAATGGTGAAACTGCTCACTATTGTTTTCCTCGTTCCATTTAAATCAATAATGTCCGTGTAATTAGGAATCGGTTTCTTCAATGGAAAATGGCTGATCATGTCGATTTGATGTCCTTTATTCGCTAGTCCCTTGCACAGGGCCTCGAACATTATAAAATGAC